CATGGTTGTGACGAGTGGGTCCAAGGGGACCCCCTGTCTGAAGTTGGTCAGTGACGACCACCAGGACAGGGTTTCCTTTACTTGGTCTGGGATCAATACCCGTCTGTTTAGTTCCCGTAGGTAAGCTCGGTATTCCAATAACAAGTGTTGGACCGGGCGGCTGCGTAGTGCGGCCTGGGGAACTACCCTTCGAACGGAGGTCATCATTCCGATGAGCCGCACTAGTTCTCGGAGAGACACTGAAGGTACGCTGACTAGGCGTTCTGCTAGGTTGCTTAGCGCTAGGCAACGCGCTCGAGATGGGCGAACCAGGCCTACTTCGGTGTCGAACTCCATGCCCAGAAACACCAACTGTTGAGTCGGGTCGGGATGGGACTTTTTGTGATTTACTAAAAAGCCCAACTGGTGGAGTAAATCCTGTGTAAGCCTTACATGTCTGGCTAATAACCCCTTGTCTGGGTTGTGTATCAACCAACGGGGCGGAGAAGATGTCAGAGGTATTCTGTAACTGCGTGTGACCACCTGGAGCGTCCAGGGGTCGGTTACCTGCTGCCTCCAAGCCGGAATGCACCGGTGCAATCTGCGTGCAACAGGGATCTGTGGCCATGGGTTCGGCGGTTGCAAGAGGGGGGGGGTTCTTCTCTACCGTGAGGTGAGCCTCCCCGTAGATCACTAAGCTGTAGCCTGATCTCTTGCCGAACGCAGGCCCATCCCCCCTGTCGCAGAGGTAAGCGTCAAACATGCTTACCCCGCTGCCGGGGATGATGACCACCCGAGGAGGAGGAGCCACCACCTGGTCCTCTCTTTCCTGGGGGCGCGCCGCTACCGTTCCCTCCCGCGGATGGGTACGAGCGCTTGCCTCCTGGCTGACTCTGTTTAGCGGAGCTAGTCCTAGGGCATTGTGTTTTCTATGCTTGGGGCGCCCTCCGTTTACCCTTGGCAGCGGCCAACTGGCTAGCGGATTCGACTTGGACCATTTGGTTTGTTACACCCCGAAGCTCTGCGACTGCCCCCGCTATCTCCCATCAAAGCGGGTGGAGGATCTCCAATCTGTGTAACTGAGGCGGTGGCGAACCCCCTGATTCGTGAAACACACACGTCTAAAACCGCGTCTCGCTGCACAGTAGTAGCCCCGGCCAAGAGAGCTATATGACACTGGAGGATATCGCACATAGCCATACGGTGGCCTACCATTAACTGTGTCGCCTGGTCTAGGAGGCGAGTGCGTTCTGCATCTGAGGTCTCAGAGTTCTGTGCGCGCACAAGAATGCGCTCCAGTGTGGCGCCCACAAATTCAAGGAAATTGATGGGTTGCAACTCCGCTCTTAGGGCATGTTGGATAGTCTCAGAATGGGTCGATGAGAATGACCATGGAACGCGGCCATCCCCCTTCACGTGGTTGGCAAAACAGAGGTTTGTGGTACAGGGGTCCGGGGAAGGAGCCTTGGGGTCCGGTCGGGGACTTCTGGTTTCGTCCCACGAATTGGGGTCCGAATCCGAGATTGCCCCGATGGGGTAGCGTTTAGTCCAGCGAAAGGAGTTATGCAAAAGATTGCCCCAGCCCGGGCTTTCGGCGTTACCTCCTCCGCGGCTGACCAACGACCGCCCCTCAATACCGTCTGCGTGCCGTCCCCCACGCTCAGCGCTCGGCTGGACCAGGGGAGACGTGCAGATGGGGTGGATCTGGATCCCGGCGCCTGTGATCCCATCAGCGTAGAAGCGACCTCCAGGGGCACAGCCTCGCCGTTGCCGGTAAAGTTGGGAAACCCACTGTCTGAAAAAACAGACTGTGTAGATGCCCTCCGATCAGCGGGAGGAGACCGAAAAAATCGGCACCCCTACTATCGGGCCCTTTGCTTGGTATCCCGGTATGAGAACCGGTAGCCGAGCGCGAGGACTTGTCATTCATGCCAACGCACAACTCACTCATACCCATGCCGGTAGCACTTGCCGCACGACCTTTTCGCGAACGAGCGACGCGTCAGTCTAGACTATTTTGACATGCTGCTGGAACGATTCCCAGGCTTCCGAACCCCAGCGATTACACATATTCTCTAGGCAGATACCTGAACCCCGAACGCACGTGAAACAACGGTAGCACTTTGAATGCGGGTTCCATTCCTGCAATTGCTGCGTACACTGAGTACAAATCCGCCTCATAAACTGAGGAGATAATACCGGCGGTGAGCCTCTGGCGTTGCCAGTGCATCTGTCCATTTCCAAATACATTAAAAATAAAAGACAACATGCATGAGCGAAACGAATTACAGTTGTAAAAGGTGCCGCCATGAAATCAACATGTGGTTACGTGGTGGCGCCGGGTTTGATCTCTTTGTTGTGGAAAAGCATAACACACAAAGGGGAAAACGACACGAGGGTAAAAAAACAAGAAAAACTTGTCCTACCAGCAAGAATGTCGGATGCCGCGGCTGTGGCGACGACCCACGCTAGAAACCCGGACAGGAAAAAGCAACAGAGCCAGGCAGAACCGCTCAGAATCATTCCCCGACGAGGTGGAGAAAATTGAAGAGTGATGGACGGCTACCTATGGCGTTGCCATGTGGCCTCAGTCACGTGGGTTCGTGACGTAAGGGGTAAAAGAATTTTGAGGTCCCCTGACCTAGATTCTATCTCTCTGTCACTGGCAGAATCGCTGATTAATGCCTACAGTTCAAAATAGTCATTTTGACTGACCGAAGTCTATGGTGGGTAATTGAACGTAGTGAATATATGCAATTTGTGAATGTATGCAATCTAATAATATATACATTCCAGGCAACAACATGTGTAACCAATTCTAGTTGGTAATTTAACAGTATGAGTGGGAAGTTTAAAAACTATGATGATCATTATAAAAACGCTATAGTCATCACACCAGTCATGTTTAATATTGGTTCCATGCAACATATACAACTGAACAAATTTAAAATATTAAATGTTACACATATGAAAAGTACCTGTGGAGTGTCTATAGTTAAAAGTCAAAGGTCAGCCTTAACAAAATCACAAATAAGTGCCCATATTCTACAAAATGAAATCAGCACCACAAACACCTAGATGTATGCCCAGTTCCTTTGATGTAGGTGATTATTAAATTAAATCACAGTGTGAAACTGAAATGAAACTGAAGACAAAAGAACACTTTCTATTGAAATGTAAACTATATGAAACTGAAAGAAATCAATTATTCAAAGAGAATACTATACAGATGGACAAATCATGATAGCAATGTTGAAGGGCGGTGGTCATAGCACATGTGCGACATTTGTATTGATAAACCTAAATTTTCACCTAATCCAATATGCTCTTCTAATGGAAATCACAAGTATGAGGTTAGACCTGGGCACGACTTGCACTAATTACCACCGGTGACTCCTTTGACACCTTCCAACCACCTAAACAAATACCTAACCAAAGCTCACTTTGTACTTGTTGATCTATGTAACATTTAAAGTCGTCATCTTTGTTTATATAAGACCCATTTCATACATGCGTGGTGCGACAACCATCGCCCTCTAAAATAATACTGTCATTGTAACAAACAAAAGAATCTCTAAATCCACACCAAACTATTTTAACATCAGAGAACAACAATATTAAAAAATTACCAGCTGCCTCAAAATAAGTATTATGTTTGTACGTGTGATTGTGAGTATTTGTTAATTGAACCATGGAAGCATGTTATTTCCATGGTTCAACAATAATAGTATTTTATATTGTTCTTGAAAAATGTGTTAACTCCAAATTGTTTTTTGCAAAGGATTATGGGATAGCTTAGACAAAAACAGTAACAAATCTTCAAAACAATCTTCCCAGTAAAATTAATGGAAAGTCAAACAATATCATCATACATTTTTACCAATGGAAAAGATGTGAGCCCCCTCCCCCAAACGCCCTCTACTGTTTACTAGTATTTTAATATCCCACAATTCTTTGCAAAATCCAACATGTAAAAGTTATTTTTTTAAAGCTCAAATTCTTCTCATAAGTTATCTTACCAGTCAGCCCTTTTTAGGGAGTCAACAGTGACATTCTGGGAGAGCAAATATTTTAAGCAATCCGTCTGTCCGTATAACGCTGCTTCGTGAATTGCTCGTTTGCCGTCCAGATTACCTGTTTCAAAACAAGCGCCGTGCTCACCCAGGAACCGCAGCACTTCAACGTGTCCATGCCTTGCCGCTAAATGTGCGACAGTGTCACCGGATTTATCGTGAAAACATGTAAGAAGATCTGCCACATCATTTCCATTCCCTAAAACCTGCTTCAGAGTATGTAGATCGCCTTGTTGAGCCGATTTTAGAAGTTGTTCATTCATTCTAAAAGTGTCTGCAACATATGTCAGCCATGATGGTTCTCGTGAAACTTTCTCGCGAGTTTCCGAGTTCAGAGGGCGCTGTGGTGGGAAAATAAACATTGCATTGCAAATGTTCGTGGCAAATCATGATGCAAGTTTGATGTCTTGATGTAAGAACAGCATACAGTTTATCCAATTCCATGTAGGTAAGTTGTTCAGTCGTGACACATTGTTGCTTTGATCTCGACGCTATTAGAGATTACAGTAAAAAAAAAAGCAAGAAGTTTTACGGATTGCATACAAATGTCTGTTTCGCTAAACTTTGATCCGATCGTTCAGTCATTCATCGACTCCAAATCCAATGCAAGGCCCGAGTGAACTGCAGCTAGGCCCGAGTTAGAGTTGGACCATTTGATTTTTGAGGGGGGAGGTCAGCTCAGTGAAAGGCAAACTTTTTTTTTTTTTTTTATGTGTTTGGAAATTTTTTTTTATCAGTAGGTTTGCTTGCAATTTTTTTTTTTAGGAGTTAATCATATCCAACATTTTTTTTTCATTATCTTCAACGGTGGTAGAAAAGACTTGCTATTTTACTGCTATTTTACGTTTTTTCGACAAAGTGGCCTCAATTTTGACAAATTTGATCAAATCTCAAGACAAAACAGTCGACCATTTTGGTCCAAATTTTGAAAAAAAATAAGACGTGCACGTGTAACGCAATATACATGATCATCATATAAAGTTTGATTGAAATCGCCCTATTCAGCTTCGGGAAACAGTTCCAGACACGTTACAGACTGTGAATTTAAGATATTAAACAAAATGGCCGCCATTTCGACAAATTTGATCAAATCTCAAAACAAAACATG